ACTTAAATTTAATTGACAGTATGCCCCGAAGGGTTGAAGACTGCATTGCCAATAATGGTTGGCCCACTAGATATTAAATAATATTTTTTTGAAATAAAGAATACGCTTTTATCTATTAACATTTCGTTATTTTTACATCATTTTTTATTTTTTATTTTTTGTCCTTTTTCATAACAAAACTTCATAATTCAATATCACGAACATATTATTAAGAACAAGAGCTTTCGAATGATATAAAGATTACAATATTTTAATTAGTATAATTTTGAAATAAATTCAAAAGAAATTTTGGACGCAAACTTTTGTCCACTGGGTGTATCATTACCTCCTGGGAAAAATTTATTTGTAATTAAAGTGATATTTTTGGATTCAACAATTCCTCATAAAAAGACCCAAGCCATTTTTTTATTTTAAAAAAGATTTTATTAAACAATAATATAATAATAACAAAATTAATTATTATATAATCAATAAATTTGATAAAAACCAAGGTTCATTGTATGTAGATTCTTTATTGTCATATCATCCTTTTACATATTGAATAAACCTTCTTTTAAATTTTCATCATCTCTATCTTGTATGAGTTTCAAGTTTGGTGTCATCATTAACTAAATCATTTTCATAATAATTCTAGAGAACCTTTAGTTTTTATAAAAATCTTTTAATGATGAATGTCAAGGAAAGAAATATAGTAGAAAGAATCAAAGAATGTGATATAAATTAAAATTATAATATTAAGATAAAATTTGTTTTAAATAATTGGAGCAACTGGTGTAACTTGAACGTAAACTATTTCAGTGTCATCAATCTCTTTACCGTCTGGCATAACTTTCTTTTTTAGTTTAATTTTACCAATCCCTGTACCATATTTTTCTTTAGGACCAAGTGGAATTTTGTTATGAGTAGATATAGAAGAAGAAGAAGAAGTGTTTGGTACATTTCTAAGTCCAAACCAACCCATTCTAAAGGCAATTTCGTTGGCACAAATCTCACCCAAACCCAACATTACACCATTAATAAAAGGGAATATAAAATTTATGACAATAGTTGTAATAAACGAGGTAAATCTAGGTCGTCTATAAAATGGTAAAAGATCTGTTTTTTGTTGTTGTTGTGACTCTGAATATTTAGAATGGGTTCCCAAACTGTCGTTACTACCATTACTGCTACTATTCTTAATGTTTCCAAAACGAAAACTAGATGTACTATAAAGTGTTGCAAGTGAGGGGGGTATATTGTTATCAGAATGAGGTGAGGAAATATCGCCTGTCACTGGCATTGACATTTCTCTAACATTAATAATAAATAAAAAGAATGCGTGAGAAATTTTTAATTTGTAGCATGTTATGTGAGCAACATAGAAGTTTGAAAATTATCACATTTACCATTTTTGTACGGGAGGCATTCATTTTACCGACAACGCGGGTTACATTTAACCTCCACATAATCAAACAATTAATAAAATGCTAAAATGGCGCGCCGCGTGTTGTTGGTAAAATGAACTGTCGGTAAAATGATTGTCGGTAAATACGTACTAGTACATTGTAATCTTTTAAATAAATTATTATTGAAAGATTTAAAGATAATTCATAGTTTAAAAATGCTAACATTATTCTATACATTATATAGCTCACATAATAAACTGCCGAAACTATAGTTAAAATCATGAAAAATAATGGTTTTCGCATTTTGGCAGTTTTGGCATTTTAACGCTTCGTCCTATGTACCTTTTGGCATCAGGCTAAATAATAATTTAGTGTTACCCATATGATTCTTAAACTCTCTTTTTATTAAAAATTATCATCTTTTACTTTTAAATTTGTCTGCCAGATTTTGGAGCTTGTCTTTTCTATTTTATTCTACTTTTAAATAATAATGTATTAAATCTATTTTACAATAATTAATTATACAATATAATAATATAAATTATAAATTATAAATAGTAAAAATAATAATGAATTCTATAAAACAAATTAATTTATTGATTGTTTGTTTAAATTATTCCTTTTTTTGTTACTTCAGGCTCACACATTTTTAAAAATCTATCAAAAGTATTTCTATATAATAAAGACAATACCTCATCTCTTGAACTTTCGTACATTGAGATTTCATATTGACCTTTTTCAATTTTATTTTTAGCAATGTTTAATAAATTTCCAGAGAAATTTATTGCCAAGTCGCTATTTGTGTCAAAGAACGTATCGTAAAATGTCAAGTAATCGTTTTTTAATTCGTGCGGAAATGGTATCCATGATGCTGCTGATACAGTGTTGACTATGGAAACAGTACATGGAGTTGATATTAATGAAGGAGAAATCAATGTTGCCGATGTTAAATTTGTATCCAATATTCCAGCCCCATCTGTAAATGATATTTGTCCTGAATCCGATACGCATAATTTGGGTGTTAACGGTGGTAATAATTCTTTGGATGTTGGCGTGCAAGATTGTGCAACTAATAATTTTAGAAATTGGTACTCTTGTAGAAAAATAACTAACTCTGTACAAAAACAAGCTGCCGCACAAACTTAATAATAAAAATAGATTTTTTAAAAATTTATAAATTTAATTGCCAAGGAATTCAAAAAATCAAAAAGATCATAAATTTTTATAGCAAACAACTTACTTTTATAACTTTCAAATAGTTCTCTATCTGCTAAAACCTTTTCAAATTGTGCGTATTTCTTGGATCCTGTCTTTAGTATTTTCTCGCCTGAGGATGATGACGAAGAATTAAATTTTTTATTTTTAAAACTCTTTATGACTGGGATTGTAATTGATAAGGTGTGACCCAAAATAAGAGTTACCCATCCAAACATAAAACTTCCAACATAATTTCTCCAGTTTCGAAGTAATAATTCAAACACAAAGTAACAAACATATGCAACAACTCCACTAACAAGTGTCACCATTAATTCATTCCTAAGACCAAATGCATCGTTTATACCGTATAGTAAATAGAAAAGAATCGGACAAACGATGATCAAAAAGAATCCAATTAGTACGAAAAGTGGAATGGCCCCAGGTCCAATTGTTGAACAATTTGTGTTTAAAGGAATTATAGAAATCGTTGGGTTAATTATTTGTGCAATTGAAGAGCCTATTAATACCAAGATCATGATTGGTGTAATGACCCAGCTTGTTAACCATTTGTCGGTTACATATTGTCTGAATTTCCTCAATCTATTCATCAATTTAGATTCTGGAAATTCCAATCTTTCTCTCATTGGTGACATTGGTGATATTGGTGGATTAGACGTATTGTTGTAAAAAGATGGTTGTGAATAGGCCATGCTCATTCTTAATTTTGCCAAATTATATTTTACAACCCATGTAAATGCTAGCACTCTACAAGTGAATGAACTACAATATAAAAAGAATCCAATGTATGCAGGCCAATGAATCAAAAAACAGGGATACTGATTTGGATAAAAAGCAGAGCATAGGCAGAACATCATGCACAGCACGATTATTGCTACAGTATTTAAGATATTTAAACGCATCGGTCTATATTTAATGTCTGATATGTTTTTACGTCTTGTATAGAACAAAATGATTGTTATTGTAAGATACAGAAATGTTAATGCTGCAAGTGATGTATAAACTACTTTTCTCCATGTTGGTGGTCCAACTACAGATTCTTCGCTTGTAGTGACAGTGGAATTAAAATTTTGACTATTCGACATATTTCAAATATATTCTATTCTGTTTTTGTTCTACAACATTCATAGGTTTACTACTACTTACTACTACTACTACTATTATTATTATTTATTCTACAGCAAAAAGAAAATTCAATTTTACAATTTGCTGTTTTTAATAATAATAATAACAATAATAATAATAATAATTTTTATGGGTGAATGAAAAAAAGGGAAAATAAATAAATTTAATCATTTAAAAATTCGAAACTTGATTATATATATAATTTTTTTTATATCAAGTTTGGAAAACAATAACCCACACAGAAGAATTTAAAAAAAAAATAATACTATTTTTGGTAAATCGTATTAATACACTTGTTTACGAATTTAATACTTTGTTTTCCGTAAAAATTTGCATTGTATATTAATATAGTAGCAGTAATTATAGCAAATAAAGGTGTTAGTATATATTAATGAACGGCCGTTTCATGAATAAAGATCAACGAGGATAATTTATTTATTTGGGTTTCAATTCTAAAATAAAAAATAAAATAAATAAATAAAATAATTGACAATTCAATGCTCTGCGTAATGTATTTTATTTGTGTATATGCATGTATGAGTCTATACGCATGTATGAATCTATTAGATATTATTCACAATACTAATTGAGATTAAGTTTCAAATTAAGTTTCATGTTCGTTTTTCGATCAAAATATTAAATTTCTTCGATACTTGCATTTACCCCCATAGAAATATGAAGCAGTCTAGAAAAATTAATTATATAAATAGTTATAATCAAAAATATACTATTATTCTCCTTTCAACGTTTCTTTCAGTGAAACTTGAGCTGATCCTCTAGATTTAGGTTTAGGTTGGTTTATATCAGGCTTCCATCCAATCTAACAAATATACATGGTTTTTATGTTAATTTAATTAATACATAAATAAATTTGAAAAATTAAATTCGTATTTACCATATATAATATCTAATATGTAATTGTTAATAAAAGATGGAATATTAATATATATCATCGTCGTTATCGTCATCATCATCATCATCAAAGGCTATAAAGTTACCTGGAAAGTAGCAGGAATTGTCCCATCTTGATTTCCATAAAAGTCTAAATATTATAAAAATGAAGTTTGCTACTATGTAAATTTATCTATCAAATCGTTCTCTCTTCTTCTTTCCCTCCCTCTTTTTTAATTAACGATACCTTTATAAATAAGAGAAGCAGCTAACAATGTATCTCTTTTTAAATATGGCCTTCTACTCAAATCAATCAATCAATCAATTAAACAATATGGGTATGAATATGAACTATGCTTAATTAATTGATTTTTGTAACCTTGTTATAATGGCATTATTTTCACCCATTGATCTTAAATCTTGGATTAATTCAATCATTGTAGGATAATTTACTACAAGATCATCAACATCTACTGTAGTCAAAGTAAACCCTGCACGTGAAAGAAGACTTCCAACATCACTAATATCTATATTAAAATAAATTACAAAAATTATATATTTTCCACTTTAAAGAAATATTTGTAAAAAAAATTATATATGTAAATTACTTGTCATAGGTGATACTCTTGGTGATACACCTCCTTCTCGTTCTAATTCTGCCAGTTGTAATGACGTTCTGATTAAATAATACAAGAGCATAATATATATTATTTATATATATACACATTAACATATATATATATATATATATATAATAAATGATCTTTAAGCTTGCCTAAGTTCAAATAATGTATCACCACCAAGTATTGATGCTATAAATACACCATCAGGTTTTAATGATCTACGTATCTGTATCATTGCACCTATTTGTTAAATTAATTAGATCTGATGTTTTTCTTATCAACATTTTTTCCCTCCTCATTAAATCTTACCAGGTAAATCATTAACCCAATGTAATGAAAGATTACTTATAACAGCTTCCAAAGTATCTTCTTCAAATGGTAAAATTTCTTCGTCAACTATAATTCTTTCTACTTCAACTATGGAATCATAAGAAAATAATAATAATAATAATAATAAGAACTGCTTTTCAATATCTATAAATATAATATTTCTCTAATCAATTAAATTACCATCGTCATATTTAATATCTTTATCTCTTTCCAACATTTTTTCTATGATAAAAATTCTTTAATTGATTTTTTTTTTTCCTTTAATTCATCAAACTATAAATTTTGTTATTTTAGAACCTGATGTGTCACACATAATTAACTTATTCATTAAATCTTTATCAACATATTTTATTATATGTCCACTTCCACTACCTAAATCCACTACCGTATCAAATTTACGTTTAATATCCTGAAATCCGATCAAAATTTCTTAATTTCAATAATTAATTAATTAATTCAAAAATTTATATTAAATTCTTTTACCAATAATCGATCAACAAGTCTACTGGCAATTTCATCTTTTAAATAATCAACTTGCCTACTACTTTCAACATCTATTGCCGCGCGATTTTTTTGAATTCTTTTTGTTTCTCTATTAAATACAAGAAAATTTGACGGCGTAGAAAAATTTCTACTCGTTGTTGTGTAAATATTTTTAAATGTATTTCTTTTTATTATTTTATTAAAAAATGAAATAATTTGCATGATGATGATGAATTGAAAAAAATTGTTGGTTGTGCAATCATCAAATAAAAAAATGTCATCATCACAACCAAAATCTGCAAAATTTAAAAAATTCACAATCGCGAATCCACGATTCCATTACTTAAAGATTCAAATGTAATCAAAATACAATTTATTATTGATCTATTGTCATTTTGATTCATTATCGAATTTGATTTACTTTCAATTTAGAAATTTTGATACACCAATAACAACAACAAATATCGTAATTACATCATTAACACTTCGTTCCTTAATTACAAAAGCGTTAGCTGATGCTTTTGGAATAATCGGATCTGGTATTCATGTTGATATATTGTACTGGAATGGAGCCAATGATCAATCAATCAATAGTAGTAGCAGTAATAGTAATAATAATAATAATAACAACAACAACAACATAGATTTAAATGAAAATATGAAAATGGAGGAAGAAGATTATTTTTTTGTTGGGGTAATAAAAGTTGCCAAAGAGTAAGTATTAAGCATTTATTGATTGATATATTAATCCATTGATCTTTTATAGATATAATTTTATGCTATAACTAATTCACATAAATAAATATATTATTTAATCATAATTAGTGATTTAACAACGTTGTGGAATGCTTTGACTTTATTCAGCGCAACATTAAACACTAGTAATAATGCTATCTTAGAAAGAAGTGAAGAAAGTAAAGGCAGCGAAGGACATTATTATAAGGATATAAGCTTCGGAGTGATTGGTAGTTCATCATATTTAATGGGTTTGTCTGGTGATAGCAGAAGATGGACTAAATCTTTTTTGTTAAAGCAAAATAACAAAATGATGTATTAATATGAATGAAATTAATAAGGAGTATATCGAAGCTGTTATTAAAAATAATGTGCGTTCAAATTATTAACTTTATTTATATATGGATTCTTTATTACTTGAGTTATCAAATGTTAAAATTTCGGGTGTGCTTAACATATATTTTTACTTTTGGTTATTTATACAGTGTATATTACGATGACGATATTCTTGTTGTTCAATATCATTTTTCATATTCGATAAATCTCTGCCGCATTCTTTTTCTTCATCATATATAACAACAGTACGAAAAGGTGTATCCCCTCTGGCTGTAATTCCCATATTCACATATGCCGAAACCGTACACGGGAGGGGTTTTTTTAAAAAAATTCATCATTAACATTAATAATAATAAAATCAACTGTTGATAATATCACTGATAATCAATCATCTCGCATCTATCAATTCTTTTGTCAAATCTTCAAACTAAAAATTTTCATGCGCCCTCTTCAATAACATCTTTGTTAACATGTCTATCTGATGATAATGGTCATTTAATTCATCTACAAAAAATATTATATATACAGATAATTTCATTTATTATCTTTTTTTGTACAATTTTGTCTCACAGTTCTTAGAATTTAGTATCACACAGATAGTTTTTTTGTAAAAAAACAAAAAAATAAGAAATGGCATCTTCTTTACCAAATCTTTGTCTTAAAAGAATTTTTGAGTACCTTAATGATGATAAAAATACATTGCATTCTAGTCTTTTGGTAAATAGACATTGGTGTCAAGAAGCCGTATCTATTCTTTGGAGGAGCCCTAACGCCCACATGTCAAAACAATTAGTTGAGGTATATATTTCTTGTTTGAGTGATGAAGAAAAACAAGTTCTAAATGATCATGGTTTGAACCTTCCTCCTTCAACTTTATCGCGACCAACATTTGATTATGCGAAATATTTACGTGTTCTTCATATTGGTGGTTTATATCACCATTTATGGTGGTGGTGCAATCTTCGAAGAGACAATTGTATTGGTGCTGATGGTCGTTGGATATTAACTGAACATTTATTAAAACTATTTATAAGTCGTTGCCCAGCACTTTGTCAATTTTCATGCGATACAACTTGCCTTCTAGAAAAGTTTGACATAACCAAATATCCTGGTGCTTCTTCCTGTCTACCACACATTCAACATCTAACACTGACTGGTAAAAGATTAAAAAAGTATTTTGAAAAATTTGCAATCTGTAATAATTTAAGGCAATTAAAAACATATCTTCCTGTTTATGAATGGGATAATAAAAGACAATGTCGAAATACTGAAAAGTTTGATGCTGAAGTGAAAGGAATAGTTGATTTTATCAAACTGCAAGATAAATTACAAGATTTAGAATTATATGGTGATTATTATGGAAATGACACTAGTGGTAAAATAATTGCTGCTTTAGAAAGTCAGGCCAATTCATTGGTAAGCTTAAAACTATGTTATGTGAGATTTGAGGGTCAACCACCATTCTATGGTATTGGTGCTTGTAAATTTCTTGAAGTTTTAGGATTTGATGGTTGTGATGGATTGACAAGTGAAATGTGTAATCCAATTATCAAGTCTGCACCATTATCACGACTATCATGTTTGAATATAACAAATTCAGATATTCCACTTGAGATTGTTACAGCATTAGTGAGGAACGCTAATATAAGTTTGTGCGAGGTGGTTTTATGTTCAACACAAAGTACAGAATATTTGGTTTTAGTCATTCAAACAATAGTCGCTCATTGCCCAAATCTGACTAAATTTGAATCAAAACAGATTCATGGTACTGATGAAATACTTGCATTATGTTCACTTTTACGGCGCTCTCAACAACTTGAAAGTTTATCAATTTATGGTACAAATCTGGACGTTGAATCTTTCTTACCGATGATAGGACAATCTATACCGTGCAGTCTTCGAAAACTATGCATTTCGTCGGAATGGATTTTCTCAACTACGGTTTTTGAATATTTCTTGAGAAATTGTAGAGCACCTTTAACCTGGTTAAATTTGTCTGCATGCGAATGTATAACCGATGAACATTTGGAATTGATTGTAAAGTATATGGGCAAAACATTAAAATACCTTAGTGTGTATCGAGCAGTGTATACCAGGATGGAATCTTTTGAGAAGGTCAGAAAAGTTATCCCAATAGTTATTGCTCCTGAGGAAAGTACCTTAAAATTTTACCAAAGACGGTGTCAACGTGAAGATTAATATTCTTGAAAATATTTTCATTATTATTAAGGACATACACCTTAGGCGCTGGAACAAGGATTATTGCTTTTGCAAAGATTGTAAAAGTTTTGGTTGGACCACTGATTCAGATAAAATCAAAAGCCTAGATTTACTTTGTGAATCGTATAAATAAAGGATTGAAGGAATATCTAGGGTGCGTGAGGAAAAGCTATTCTTTATATTTTGAACAACTTCTTTCTTTCTAATGCAAAAATCACATCAATAATATACTTTTATTATTATTATTATTATTAAACGTCAATTAGATAATGAAATAATAATAATTATTATTTAATGCTGAACTCATCGGACCTTTTTGCATATAAATGAAAAAAAAAAAAAATAGAAATATGGTATTAATGAATTTTTGAGACTTGTACTTATTTAATTTTTTACGTTGAATCTTTTAATTTGTCTTCAAATTTTCAAGTGGTAAAGTAAATTAAAAAAATAATATCACATCATTCACTGCTACTACTATTACTTTAAGTTGTTCCTTTGACCAATAATACATACGTATCTACGACGTATATGTTTCTGCGTATAAATGCTTTTTATTCAGGCCATGTGATTTTTTAGATCATTTCCAAATATGATCCTGATTTTACGAGACTATTTTATTTTTAATCTTTTACATCATTTAACTAATTGCTTTTTTCACTACACTCAAATAAAATGGCACTTAAACGTATTCAAAAGGTAATAAAAATATCGTTAAATAGTTAAATATGTAAACTTTATATTTCAAACTTATTTTATGTTATCAACAGGAACTTTCAGAAATCAGTAGAGAACCACCTGTTGGAATTAGTGCAGGACCTATTGAGGACGATGACTTATTCAGTTGGGCCGGTAGTGATTTACTCTGTCGTCATTTATTTTTCTTTTGGTGACTTCATACTCATTACTTGCATTTATTTAATTGCTTTTGAATAGCCACAATTTTAGGACCTGTATGTAAACTATATATATGTGTGGTGTGTACAAGATATTTGTATGTTTTATATATATTATATTGTTTATTTATAGGCTTCTAGTCCTTACAAAGGTGGAATTTTCAAACTTAAGATTGATTTTTCACACGACTATCCATTTAAACCACCATCAGTAGGTTTTTTATATATTCGAATTAGTAAATGATGTGATAATAATAATAACAATAATAATAACAACAATAATTATAGTCTTATTTATTTATTCATGTATGTTTGTTTTTATTTTATATTTATATAGGTTAAATTTATTACTAGAATATATCATCCCAATATTGATGAAGATGGATCAATTTGTGTTGATTTATTAAAAACTGATGTCTGGAAGCCATCAACAAAGATTACACAAGGTAAAAAATATAAAAATATATATTTTCACTACTGTTATTCGCTAATCACATATACACATATCTATTATATTATGTAGTTCTTAAATCTATTGCTAGTCTTCTTGAACATCCTAATCCTGACGATGCTTTAGTGGCCTCTATTGCTGAAATTTATAATACAAACAAGTCAAAATTTGATAAAACTGCTAAAGATTTTGTGAAAAAGGTATTCATTCTCCCAACCTTTCATTCCTTATTTTCATTGATTTTTGAAATCTTACTAACTGTTATTGTTATATTTCAAAAATAATAAAGTATGCATCGTAGATATTAAATTAGGACTAATATTTTACCAAATATTATTATTTTTTCTTCAAATTGTTAATAATAAATAACAATATAAATTTTTGATTCGTGTAACTTTGTTAATTTAATTTAAATAGTGGAAAATAGATTATCAGAAAAACTTTTTCTTTAAATAACGAAAAATGATACGACTTAATAAATTATTATTAAACAATTTCTCAAAGTTAATAAATAATAATCATCATTATCACAAGTTTCCAATAATTCAATTAAATAAGCCACCCATAATAATATCATCGTTATCAAATAAAAAAAGATATTTTCAAAACATTTTCAACCCTTCTTCAAAAAAGGAAAAACAACAAGAAAAACCATTACTTGCACCCGATAAATTATTTCATCCATTGTCAAAATCTCCAATAAAAGAAATTCAACAGAAATCAAAACTGATTCGTCAACACGGTAAATGTCCCGTATGCGAAGAAACTTTATCAAAAGAGCTTAGAAAACAACCTGTTTATGAATGTGAAGATTGCGGATTCCCTACTCATTGCTCGAGAGAACATTATTTAAAAGATCTAGAAAATCATAAGAAACATGTCTGTGATATGTTAAGAGAAGTTAATGAGGATGATCATGATTTGAAAAGTGGAAGAAAGTTGATTGAATTAGATTTTCCTGGTATTTTATGATAATAATAATGAGAATGGTTTTAAATCACAAATATAGTAACCTAATTTCTATTCTTTTTTTTAAAAAAGAAACTCAACCGGTTGATGAAGCGGTAAATATGTTAAATTGGAATACATTTTTTTATACAAGAGGGTTTCCTAGCATTGATTCTGAACGTTCTTTAAGACATATCTCTAAAGTTTTGACATTTCCAATAACTATTGGATCAATCTTGCATAAATATAGTCCATATATTCTTAAAAATCGTTTAACATTAGAAGGACTAAAATCTTTAACTGGTAATTTTCAATAAGAACATTCTGATTTTTCTACCATTCAAAAATTAAACAATAACGATCATCATTATTATTTACGTAGCATTACGATCAACATTATATTCTACACAAGTGAATAACAGCATTAGATCAATTAAAATGGTAAACGCTATAAGGGTCTTTATAATAGGAGCACGTGGAGAAGCACAATTACCGTTAAATGTGTACACACAATTATCCTATTTATTTCCAGATTCGATTATCCATATATATTTCATTGGTCCTGAATCAATATTACCAAAAAAAGATCAACCAGATTCATATAGCAAAAGTTATAATTATAAATTAGGTTTTACATGGAACAATTCATCATATGAAGATTTTCATGATACAGCCAAGCCTTTTGATCCATATTATGATGTGTTCTTTTTATTTAGCCCGGGAATTGGACAACAAGATGGTATGGAGACTTGGGAAACTTCATTGAGAAAATTATTGACAACTAAATGTGGAATATTTATAACGGGATTTGATGAGAGCGATTTGTTAAAGGATTTTAAAGCGATAGAAAATAATGATGCATTTGAATTCGATTTGTTGTTAGAACCAGGTGAAAACATTTACAAAAGTCTAAGAAGAGAAATTAATCCTTTGGATGTTAGAGAAGGTATTTATACAAATTGGGGAATATTTGGTATAAGAGGTAAAAGGTACGATGTGAATGTTTATGGTGATGAAGATACTGAACTTGTAGGTGAGGAGGAAGAAGAAGAAGAAATAATTCATGAAATAAAGAAATTAGAGAGTGGCACTAAAAAGAACTGATAAATATTATTATTATTATATTGATTAATAATTATTTTTTACTTTTTCTCTTTTTATTAAGATTTTTTTTGTAAAAGGAATAAATTCGTTTGATTTATTATTTACTTTTTTTCTTATTAACAGTTTGTCAATAAATCGCAAACATGTTAGTACATAGTCAACCCAGTTAATCCGAATCCCTCGTTAAAATAATCTTTTTTTTTAAAGTACAAAACCAAATATGTAAATTTACCCCGTTAATTGTGGCTTTTATCTTTTAATCTGTAGATTCCGTTAAATCGGAGATTTTTTTGAAATCACTTCTAGTGTGTGTAGTGTGGGGAGTTTCCAGTTCCGGTATACCGAATATATTAATATATAGAAATCCGCTAAATCCGTTAACAGTCAGTGTGCAAATCCTAAAAATTAAGGGGCAGGTCGTTTTTGGCTGATCAACATTGAAATTTTACTAATAAAAACTCGAACTATGTCTTCAGTCCCTTATTTTATACCCTTGTTTTGTATTAATTGTCACCAAAATTTCCACGTTGTTTATTTTTCATGTTCTTTATTTTGTAAAAAATTTTCAAGTAAGGTTAATAA